GATAAAATGGCCTTAATTAGAAAAAAATGCTATAAGAAGCACAGTACGGATATCTCCTCACAACCTCGTCATATATCAAACTCTGAAGCTTCAAACATCGTGGTATACACAGTACGTTTAAACTATAGAATTATCGTAAACAGTTTACTTTTTTTTCTACTTTATTTGCAAAAGTTATATATATGTATACAGCTTGAAAAGCACATTGTTTCTTAGTGTCGGTTTCTAAAAAACTCATTATCTAGTTACTACTTGAATAGGACTAATATGGTTTCTCTGTGATATCTGTGACATAATTTCTTATCTAAATTGAATTTGTGTTAATCGAATACTTCAAGTATTATTATTAATTAGTATTATCAAACTAATATCTATACATGTAAAGCCTGAAATGATGGAGTTCATTCTGAAAAAAAACTAATGTAACACAAACCATTGCGAACATTTAAATAAGTTCAGTATATTTAAGCATTATCTTATAAACTTAACGTGCAGTAAAATAAACTAATCAAAAATAACCGTACTGATTGTTTGTATCAGATAATGAAAGAATCCATTATCTCTAACATTAATGTATGTGACTCAATATATCGGTGGTTTTATCTAGAATATACTTATGATAAAAATCTGTTATTAGCATTAATTTATTTAAAATAACCATTAAATGTTAGTTCTTTATACCTTTAGAGAAACTTTCTCTAATATTTGTATCCTGTATACTTTCAATGTTAATACGAAAAAAATCACTTCTTAAAATCCGTTATATGAGGCCAAGTGTAACAAATACAAAATTTAAGTATAGGATTGTAGGGATTACTGAATTTCATAAACGTCTTGAACCTATCTAAGTTAGACCACCATTGAAAATATGAAAATAGTGGACGACCATTTCGTCCAAGTGTGGAACACCGTACCGGTTGAGAGGCAGATACCCATTGAAGACAATAGAAAATTTTGGTGGAGTTTTGTTCTCTGAGCTGGATGGTTTGGTCGTGGAGCTTTCATCGTTCTTCTGGACGACATCATCAGCACAAACTCCAAATTTGAAGTTCATACCATTATTGGTTTGTACACCGAAAAGCATAAAATTGGGTTTGACTTAGTTTTTTCATTTACTGACTGATTAATTGTCAGTGACAGTTATTATTAAAACAAGAATGCCTTCCAACAACACTTTACACATATGATTTGAAATCGTCATAATTGATTAATGAGTAAAATTTGACATTTTTTTGTTTAATTGTCGAAGATATCAGGAACTATAAATCATGTCTGATTCGTTTGTCGAAAGGAATACCGAAGAAGCATTTGTGATTATCTTATCAAATACACTATTCTTGAAATAATCATAGTGAAAACATAAATACATGAACGGAGAATCTTGTCACCAGTGGCTGATTTCCAGAATTCTTCTAAAAGACTTTGACCACTTCAATCGCAATATAATCACATACCTACATTATTGAGATGGTTGTGTAATATCATGAACTGATTAAATTTAAACATGCTAACCATTGGATTTCAGCTCAGTGGTCTAAGGTTAATACGCTCTTCGTGATAGCCTAAGCTCCTAGGTGCGATGTTTGGTGAGGTCTTAGGTGTATAGTTCGGTGTAGTTCGTTACTATGGTAGAACAACTGTCTATTGCTTCCTGATTTTAAAAAGTTACTTATTTAAGGTCAATCCCAGTTGACGATAATTATAAATGGCCACTTTTAAGACAAATACATATTTTAAAATTATAGCGTATGAATTTACAGACAACCAGTGCGTAACGTTAACCTGGATTGATATACAGGTCATTCGTAATTATTAGTTAAGCGATTAGAATAAATAGTAATAAATAAGGTTAAATAAATAATAGTGTAATGTTAGAGAGCAATGACCGATTCGACATTCCCTGTAGTGCTCCATGGATAGTAAGACTCAGTCTCATTAACCAACGCAAGCGGCTATGGTAAAGATCATACCAACCTTTCAACAATGAAAAGGTAAGAACCATCTTAATAAAGATATGATCAGTACTAGGTGGCTTAAAAATAAGTTTCAACACGTAACTCAGATTCGTGGATTCTTCTCTTTTTACCACTGTAGTAAATAGGATAAAATCAGTTATATAAAAGAATATCCGATCTAAAATAAACGTTGTGCTCAATATAGCTCATCGAACGATTGTAGGTATAAAAGGTCACAAATGGTTAACGATGGCCCGATTTCACGACAAAGTCAATATACCTAACCTTGCAATAAAAGCACAACAAAATAGGCTGAACATATGCTATACCATACACAAAAAGTCAAATAATTTAATAATGAGTTCTTTATATAGCCTTAGTATAGAACCCTATGAAAATTTACAAGTCCATATCAAGATCTAAACAAGACAACTAAAAATTGGCACAGAACGACTTGGAGATAAACTCCTTCTAAAGTGGATTTCAAATCCAACTGAAAAATAACCTCAAGAGCAATGAAGAATACAACCCAAACAAATAGGGGAACGAGAGCTTATACACAAATGAGACAACACCACTTATTAAGATTGTTAACACTTTCTGTCCCTATTCTTTGCTCGTTCAACACGTTTTTTGTGTATTGCTTTATATTACTTCAAAATATTCAGTAAGCAGTTTTATTCACAATAGTTTATAACTGCATGTATGGAGTAAGTTCGGTTTGTGTAAAATCCTAACGAACTTACGTACATGTATAACATTCACTGTATTTTGTGTTATAATTACCTTCTCTCGAATCTTGAAACTGTTATTCGCATTTTTTATACATTACTTGATTGGTCTTTTAGATCCAACAGTTTCCATATTTGTGTGTTCTCAGATCTCATATTAGTTATTGACAAACCGTAGATATCAGATATCATTTTCGCTATCGTTTGTTGTAATTACTATTTATGTTGTTATTACAGAAATCTTTCCTAGTTGCAGGCATACAAGCACGTCAGATGCCACACGGGTTGAGGTTTTTAACAAATTTAAGTTCATTAGTGAAAAAAACCTTCCTCTAGACAAATCGTAGTTTACAAAAATTCGGTAAATGAATCACCACCTTAGAAACGATCATCTCGCAAATTTAGCAAATATACCGTACTTATGGGAATTGAATGCTTTCTTGAAGACTGTAATAAACGTATAAGACTACATATGGCTAAAATGACAGCTTCAGGCTTACCATCCTGACTTGGCTCAACCCTAACATAATAATCTAACAATATCGTTCCTTACAACTCACTTATTAAATAACACCCCACCAAATACACCAATGACCAGTTACTGGGTACTAAAAGAAACTGTCTACTTTAGAAAAGACCATCAATAACTGGTATGTGGTACGCATATGGTCAGTAATAACCAAAAAAGAAATTAGATAAAAAATGAAACTAGACCAAAAACTGCTTTTGTGCCTCGGTATTTGTACTTGCCTTCAATTTGTGTCTCAACTCTGGAAGAGTTAATCAGCTTCACTAACCAGCTTGACTGGAAAGGGCAGCTTAATGGTAAGTTACATCAAATGTTTAGTCATAGATACTGTAATATGTCGAGTGGTATGATTCAAGTAAAAAAGGTAAAGTGATTGCTCACAAAATTTTCCATATATTTGTATGTCCCATAGTCATAGTATATGCCTATAAATATTACTGTATATTAGAGTGAAGCCCGATATGGATCTAATCGATAACAATATTGTTCGCTTATATATGTTGTAATTAGATGAATACATTTCGTCAGTGATCAAAGCAAAGTGTTGTATAGATGTTTTGTCAGTCACTTCACGAACTTTGAAAAAAAAATTGACTAACAAAGATTATTTTGATTGAGATCATGAATCGAACGATATTAGACCACCATTGAAAACCTGGAAGCACTGGACGGCCGTTTCGTCCTAGTATGGACGTGTACTGTCGAAGAGTCCCACAATCCCATACTGATAAAAAAGATTTGTCGACACAACTGTTACTTTAAAAGTTCCGAACAGCAAAACAGTATATTAATATACTTTAAAGGTAAATTTTTATTGGAGTACAATTGTTGACACATGGTTGACAATTATTTAGTGCTATCCACTGGTTCCTTTCTATGCTGACATCAGTAGTTTTCATTAGCAGTGTAAGTTTAATCATTACAATGTAAATAGCCAACCTGAAAATCATTAGCTCTATCCTTTGATGGTTTGCCTGGATTGCATTTCGTAGTTTACAGGAGTGGAATGTGTGATTTAAAGTTCATACTATTTTCGACTGCTAATTTCCGTTGGTAGTGGACTGCATCTATCTCTAGAAAATTTCATTCTTACGTTTTTAGTTACTAACAAGATAGCAAGTAGCCATCTTAGAAAACGATAGATTTACGTAAAGCTCAATAGCTGAGATTTTTACAAATATAATTTTTCTGCTTAATGGTAAACACTAAAACGGTTCCCAACTATTGTGTAAATTTTCGTTCAAAGTTGTAAAAAAGTTCTTACAAAGTATTCATCGAATGTATTTTCAACTGGTTACCTTTATACAAGTTTTGTATTATTGATTATTCATCAACTTTTTTTTCCGAAACTTCACCAAGTTACGATAATAACTTTTGAGATGGTGGAGAAGATTTGTAGCTCAATTGGATGATTTTGGTGGAGTTTTGTTCTCTGAGCTAAAGTTTGTGCTGATAATGTCGTTCAGAAGAATGATGAAATCCCCACGATCAAACCATCCAGCTCAGAGAACAAAACTCCACCAAAATACAATAATATCTTTTATTTTATTTCTATGTTTCCTAGAGAAGCTGATATCTGGATACAAAGCACTTTTTAGCTTCAACAGATGAAAATTCATACAAGCACAAGAGACGGATAGAAGGATGCTTTTATACTCTTTTCTTCTAACAAACTTGCTCTATATACACTGTTTATGTGATAATATGATCAGCGTTGTAGAACCACATTAATCACAATGTTTATAATATGAAATCAATTGAAATGTACTATTTAAGTACACTTACCTGAAAATTCATTCATATTCATATATTTTGAATTGCATTTTGAACTTTCTTTCATACGATTTAAACATTTTGCGCACAATTTTTCATATGTATCACATGAACTTGTATGTGATTGAACAATTTGTTCATTGACATACTCTCCAAATATTTCATTGATCAAAGGTGTATCACGAGTACAATAGAATGAATTTGGTTCATCTGAAAGAATTGCGGCTAGCTGTGCAAAAAAGATAAGTAATTAAAAATTTAGAGTATTATATTTGGAAGCACTGGACGGCCGTTTCGTCCCGGTATGGGACTCCTCAGCAGTGCGCATCCACATTAACACCGTTGGATGCCGGCTCAGTGGTCTAGTGGTTAAGTGCTCGCGCGCGAAGCCAGTAGGTCCTGGGTTCGAGCCCCGCGTGGTGCGGGATCGTGGATGCGCACTGCCGAGGAGTCCCATACCAGGACGAAACGGCCGTACAGTGCTTCCAGGTTTTCAATGGTGGTCTAGCTTCAACTGACTCATGATTTCAACGTGTGAAATTTCTTAAACTCTCCACAAAAACCCATTCTGAGTATTATATTTAATTAAACTGAGATTTATGTTTGGATGACTAAAAACAAGAACATCTTCATAAATCTTACTCAAGTTATTGTGGTAAAGAATAAATATTTTATTGATTGAGATAATGAATCGACTGGTGTTAGACCACCATTGGAAACCTGGAAGCACTGGACGGCCGTTTCAACCTATTGTGGGATTCCTCAGCAGTGCGCATCCACGATCCCACTTGCGGGATCCGAACCTAGGGCCTTCCGTCTCATACGCGAACGCTTAACCTACAGGACCATTGAGCAGGCATTCAATGGTGTTAATGTCTAGCCTCAGCCAATCCACAAAATTGCGTGATCATCTTCTATTGTACTGAGGTAGACACTTGTTTCTACTAGACACAGATTAGCTCCACTGGTCACGGCTTCTCACAATAGGACGAAACGACCGTCCAGTGCTTCCAGGTTTTCAATGGTGGTCTAATATCAGTCGGTTCATGATCTCAATCAAAAACTTAACAATCTCCACAACCACTATACTGATAATAAATATTTTGATTGATAAAATGTCAAATGTAAATTGAACTAATTCTCGATGTTATTGTATATACTTCCACATGTAAACGTCTCAAAAATGTGTTTATAGTATGTTGTTTCATCTCACACTTTCTAAGTCTCAAAACCTTAAGTTAGACATTTTAATTCAAAACATCTTATGTTCTCATATTTCTTGTTCCTTTGTTCAAGATCCTCGTTGCACATATTTCAAATTCTCTAGCTAGATTTATATTGACTGGGATCGTGTTTATAGACTGACTAATGAATTATTTTTACTATGTACATAAAGCTTTTTAGCTCGTTTTATTTTGTCTTGGATCTATTCTTGATGGTGAGTGTGGTAAATAGGGAGAAATGATTTCACTCCTTTGTTCTGTTGGTATTTACGAATTTATTCTCAATGATATTAATTTAAAAATATTTAAGCTTATGCTGTTGAAGTACACTGTTTACTTAAATTACTTACTTTTCAACTATCAACTAAGTATTTGGTAAAGTTCTACACACAGTTCCACTTCATATGAAATATAATAATCAACTTACTAGTACCTTAAATTGAGATGAGTACCTAAAGCTCTATAGCGAAGTGGTGGTCAATAGAGTCTAGATATATCTGGTACGAGACTGTTGCCCTAGACGACAGTGAGTGATCATTAGGCTCCAGCCAGTTGATAATCTAGGAGACTAGCTCATCACGAGACCTAAAAGACACAGGCCAAAACAAATGCAAGATGGTGGTTGCGAACTACTGGGGAGGTACAAACACTCACAAGAAAGGATTTTAATGATACTGGTTTTCGATGGCACCCCAAATTGGATCGATTCGCGGCAAATACTTCCAATGGAAACTTGCACAATACATTATATCCAATTCCAATTAATTTACGCCTAATATAATCCGTATAGTTTATGAAATAATTTAACTTGTGTTTACAAACATACATTACTTGTCACATTTGTAACAGGCTTACTGAAAGCAGAAATTAGTGTTCTTCCCTTAATTCATGAACTTCGCCAGCGGTACTTTTAGGGTTACTGGTCGTCACAAACCCGGGTAAAAAAGCCATTTCACCCTAAATTTATTGTAGTACTTTTTTCATCTGTAATCCTAATCAGATAACGTGGGTGTCAATATTTTGAATGAATTATTGATTCGTTAATTGAAATTCATAATCCCTAACAACACGAGTATATAATAATTTTGATCAAACTATTTTCATATTTTTCTGACACTATTCCTCACAAATCTGAAAAATTTCAGATCCTTTAATCGAACTAAGTCAGAAATCAACGAAAATATACTAGTTTGATACATAAAGTATTTAACTAACAAACAAAACAATAGACAATAGTTTGAGATTCAAATGAAATGTATAAAACGTACTTAGTATGTTTAGTATTTTAGAATTTCTTAATTAATCCATTCAGTTTACTACAAAAACACTAAAGCTATTTCCATAGTATAAAATGCGTTATATTACTTATACAATAACTAATGGACAATTTCTTCATACTTCTATTATAGTGAACAGGAGACATGTGGGAACAATCGAATGTATTTAACACAAAATTACAGGACTTGTTAATAAAATCTAACAATCATAAAGTAAATGCTCAATTTGCAAAATGTCCACTAATTGTCTCAAAATGACTCAGGCTTCATTGTTCTTACATTTTCATACAAATTGCATTTTGTTTCCATTCTTTACTGTTCGATTCTCTTGTCTCTCTGCTACCAGACCTTCTGTTCACGACTTACATCATATACTACTTATGTCAATCTAAGTAGCACACACCATACTATGACTAAAACGTTTCATGAATAAGTTCATTGATAACTTATTATTTGGTTAATACTTTCAGTAAATTGATCATTTTATAAGTTCCTAAATCCATGTCATATCAAACTTTATATGTATAGGTTTATTTTCATTAATGATATGATTGGAATGTTTATTTTTTTAAATATCATAACAACTGGAATATAGTTAGATTAGTTGAAAACCGTCATATTCATTTTAGAAATTAATTAAGATATTCTATAATAAATAAATAAATAAATCAAAACTAATAAAAAGTGAGATGAAGCTACTAATCCAATTCATTGACACACACACACACACAGAGTTTTTTTATTTTAGCATAAATATGACAAATTCTTTGAATTAATCAGTAAATTACATAACTCAGAAAACTTTTTATACCAGTTTAGTAGGATGATAACTTGTAGTAAAGGAAGTTACATCCAACAGTATATATTTAAATAGGTGTATTTGGTTGTGGATATTTATATTGAAATACTGGTTGGCGGCCTATATTCCATTGGAAGTAGTAATTTATATGGAAAAAGCAATTTATTGTAAACTTTAATATGATCAAGTTTGTAGAAAGAGAATGTTATTTTAAATTGTGTATGATAATATGTATCTAAAGTTTCTTAAGAATAGACAATAAACACAAGAACTACAGTATAAAAGAATAGTTCTAAAGTACATGTGCAGCCTTAGTTAAAAGCTACATTAGTATAAGATCATAAGTAAAAGATAAATTTTCAATTTGTTACAAATTCAAATAAATTGTCAGCAGTAATTACGTTTCTATAGTAAAAAACAATGTAAATTGTTTGTTTGAAAATTAATCTTTAACGATTAAACGTTTCACTGGTTAAGACCATGAGTCAATTGAAGCTAGACCACCATGGAAATTTCGGAAGCACTGGATGGCTGTTTCGTCCTCTTTTGGGACTCCTAAGCAATGCGCATCCACAACCTTGCTTCGCGAGATCCGAACCCAAGACCTGTCAGTCTCGCACGCACAAATACCCCTTCTGATATGAATTAATATATGCTCACTAGTGACTGGCTTCAAGAGGTATTTCCTGTAGTTCTAGTGAGAAGCAGTGGCCAGCAGAGTTCAACCGAATGTGTTGTGAGATAGAAACTCACTGATGACAATGGTGAATGTGTCGCTCAATTTTGTGAATTAGTTGAAGTTAGACATTATCAGCATTGGATGCTGGCGGGCTTAGTGGTCTACTGGTTAAGCGCTTGCGCGCGAGACTGATATGTCCTGGTTCCGGATCTCGTGGGGGAGGCATCGTGGCTGCACACTGCTGAGGAGTCCCATATTAGAACAAAAAGGCCATCCAGTGCTTCCATGTTGAAATTATTATAATATCCATAAAACCCTTCTGATATTAATAAACATTTGTTTGTTTGTTTTTAATTTCTGACAGCTGTTCACTTCGTGATACAATCCCTTATATCTCAGATATTAACTATATTTACACATTTAATAACAAATGAGGCTTAAATGATCATACATATTTATTGTTCTAAAATAAAAACAATTTACCGTATTAGATATTTTTTGTACTTACTGACATAAATTATTAAGCCATGCATTCACAAAGAACTATTTAATCCATTCATTTACTTAAAGAAATCTAAAAAAATATTCTTTTTGAACATTATCATCTTCACCTTATTTATTTATTTCATTAGCTTAAAGAGAATAAAAAATTAAGATTATTATAAATGATCAAGTATAAAACTATTGACAAACAATATAAGTAGTAACTATACAGGTTAAGCATAAAATAGAAATCGGATCATTGATTATTTAATTTACCTCTTTTCAATTTATTACAATTAATATAAACGAGTTTTTTTTGTTTTTATATTAATTCTGTTATCTGAATGATTTATATATTTCATATTATTAATAGATGAATATAGATTTAAATATTGTAAATGATAAAGTTATGTATGAGTACATTTAATCACTAACAAATTACATAATATTTGTTCCAATATTTTATCTTTCACAATTAGTTACTAAGTGCTTTAAACTCTAAGAATTCCCATAAAAAAATTTCTCCAAAAAACATAGATTGTTTATTTTTTTAAAATAACAATGAGAAGATACAAACAAAGAACACCAAATGAATTTAAACTTCACCCATTTCACATACAAGTGGCTATCAAAAATCAGTAGTTAAATGGCTAACACGGTGATATTTGAAGCGAGCGGTACTGGGTTTGAGTCCCGAAGTGAACATTAACTTGGATGCAAGCCCATCCAGTTAATGAGTCACAAATCGGAAGAAATGCGCGTCCTGGA